TTGATCGTCCTTTTTAACTCCAATTCCTTTTTGATAACAATAACCAACGCAAGAAACCGCATTAGAACTACCTTTAGTGACAGATTCTTGATAATAAGCGAATGCCTTTTCTTCATCCTTTTTAACACCAATTCCAATTTGATAGCAACAACCAACTTTACATATTCCATCAGCATGACCAATATCAGCAGACTTTTTATAAAGGATGAATGCTTTATGTTCATCCTTTTCAATCCCAATTCCTTTTTCATAACAATAGGCAAGTAAGGCCATTCCAAGATAATTACCCATATCAGCAGATTTTTGATAATTAATGAATGCTTTATGTTCATCTTTTTTAACACCAATTCCATTTTGATAACAATCACCCAGGTTATATACACCAAGAGCATGCCCTAATCCAGAAGATTTTTTATAAAGGTTAAATGCTTTAATCTCATCTTTTTCTATTCCAATTCCATCACGATAACAATCACCAAGACTATTTATACCATAAGGATTTTCCATTTCAGCAGATTTTTTATGATAAATAAATGATTTACGTTTATCTATTTTAACACCAATTCCAAGTTGATAACAACATCCAAGATTATTCATTCCAGTTGAACTTCCCATATCAGAAGATTTTTGATAATAATTAAAAGCTTTACAACTATCAAGTTCGACCCATCTCCCTATTAGATAACAATATCCAAGAATATTTTGTATAATATAATTAGTTTGATTATTTAAACAAAGTTTTATTATATAATTTGGTTCTAATCGTTCATTTAATAAATAATTTTCTATTGAATTAAGAATTGAAGTAGCAAGATTCCCTTTTTTTTCTTCTTCTATACATAAGTTGCATAATTTTTCAATAATTTCATTCATGAAATCTTGTGACGTATTATTGTTAGAAGAATAAAGTTGTGGTGACTGTGAAGTATTTGTGGAGCAAGTTTTAAAGTTTTGAACAACACAATCAGATAAATTATTAAAGATATTTAATATTTCTTTTTTATTAGACATTTTTAATGTAACGGTAATGGTTTGATATTAGAAATAAGAAATATTTATATGTGAAATAAATGGTCGCAGAAATATTGATAAATTCTAGAAAAAAAATAAGGCTGGTGTCACGGATTAGCTGTGCACAATAGCTAGAACAAAGTTCATTGTTTGGTTCGGGTGATCATTCAGGCCTATATTTGGTAAGATATTGTACTGTATTTGAGAAAGAATACATACCGGTACCGGTACTGAATGTATGAATTAATAGACCTTTTTATCTGTTATTAACAAAATTACTTATTAGTACTCAATATTCGTACGTATAAATTATAAGTTAATTTCACATGGCGCAACATATTACTATTGTATATACAAAAGGAAACCTTGAATGGTGTTATTATCATTATTAAATCTATGCTTGAAATAGTGCATATATGTCATGGCCGGACTTTGCAGCAAGAATTCTTGGAAACAATTTTCAAATTAGGCATAAAATTTAGCAAAGCATTGGAGAATCGGATATTGTCCTTTCCGTTCAGTTTTGAATAAAAATTATTTAAGCAGTCGTCAAGATATCTTTATTCAAATTTTTTATTAAAATTCTAATACAACTGAAATCATATCTTATCGTGGCAAAGTTCGGGAATGTTAATATTTTAGTACAAAAAAAATGCTGAGGTGCTGCGGCAGTAAACTACCAGAACTTTGAGGGGGAGATTCTGGCGGATTCATATGATCACTTAACTACTATTTTTATTTATTCAATATTGAAAATGAACTATATGTAGTGTTAACTTTCTCATTATTTGAATTTATACAGTTTAAATTATGTTCCCAAATAAATAAAAAATGTTTTTTTTTATATAATATGTACTGTTACTTAATCTATAATAATAATTTTACTATGTACTTAATCTATTATTAAGAATAAATCAACGTTGAAATCCCATCTAAGTACGAAGTGTAGTTTTGCGATTTTCAATTTAAATGATTTTAGCCAAAGATTTCGATTAGGTTTGTGATATAACAATCTAAAAAAAAAAAAAAAAAATGTGTTACTTAATTCTTCAAGCACATTACATAAATAATTTAAGAGGTAGTTCAGCTCTGAAGGGTATAAAAAAAGCAAATTTCATAGTAAAAAATCGAAACTTGATGCAAGTTACTCTCGTTATTGTGAAAATGGGCTTACAAAGAAGAATTTTTTTTTAGAACAAAACCAATACTATTAATTTTTTACCTGATTTAATGAAGTTATATAATAAACTCTCGATATAAGATATTGAAGATTTTTTCAGTACATTTATAATAAATTTACTCTCGATTTTATTATATAATCCAATTTTTAACCAATTATATTAATTTAAAATTCTCTTGATATAGTAAAGATTTTAAATAAACTTCATTTTATTAAAAATTTTTACCCTTTAATAATAACCTGTCTAAATATTACAGCATTTTAAAGTGTACAGTATATTAAGGTTTAACGATTAAGAAAATTTTTAATGGTGTTCGAGATCGAGATCATGTAAGTGAATTTGTTTGGCCTTTGTTTTTATCATAATTCTTATCAGTCATATTCGTCGTCTATTTCTGTATTTTCATAATTAACTTCTTCATTAGGCCACACCAATTTAATTTGGTGGTTTACATTATATCTCCACTTCAAAAGTGGGGGGGGGGGGGGGGGGTTTTCAGGGATTTACATAATAAAATTTTCGAAAGTTTTTTTTTCGAAAAAAAATTTTTTCCGAAATGTTCCGTTCAATATAAAATTTTTCCAAATGACCCGTAATCCTTATGTTATTTACTAACATTTTTTTTACCATGAGGGGGGGGGGGGGGGGGTAATGTAAACCACCAAATCAAATTGGTCTCGCCTAACTTTTTTCGGTTTCGTTATTATCATTCTGATATAAAAAATTAAAATTATTTATAATATTACCAACATAACGATAAATATAAAATATATATACCTTTTAGTTCTGTGTGGTACTACTAGTTTCGCTTGTAATGTCATCCTAGCTTGAAAGTTGACACTTGCTTCGTTTAATTTTTTTTGGGATCAGTAGATAAACTTGATAACTTATTACGATTAGAATACCTACCAAACATCGTCTAAAAAAAAAAAGAAATGTAATAATTCAGAAAGAAGGCCCGCAATAGTTATCTTCAGTGTGTATCAAGATTGAAGTCAGGTTTTAATATACAGCACAGTAATTTTATAAGTAGCCATAGTATTTTTTGGGTATCGTATTTTATTTTTTTATTTTTTTTTGTCTTTCTTTCAATGGCCTTTCAAATTTTTTACGAGTATTGGATGGATCGCCATAAGTTGAATGTTTTTTTATAAAGAAACGTTCATTGTTTTTTCTTTTCGTTGATTTAGAGAAAAAAATATTTGAATCATTAAATTTAATATTATTTATTTACTGTAAAAGTTTAAATTATGAGGTAATGACGTTTTTTATCATGTGAGAGGTCAGAGTATTAATTAATAATATCTTGAGTCATTATGTATTAGTGGATTACTAATTCTTGTAATAATATTTGTTGAAGGACTTTGCTATATTTTAACACACTCTCTTGTAGACTATCCTTATCACCTGACTATAAATAATGGCAAATACGTAACGATAATTATGAAATTAAGACATTCGTATAACTATCATGTGATTTAAGGATCGAATCCTTACAGGATCGGTGTTGAGGGCGAAAAGGAATCCGGGATCCGAGGTTAAGTCGGGATGATGATCACACCAACTAATATCTACAACCTACCACTAAACTAACTATAACCCTAACAGTGG